TATATACATATATATATATATATATATATATATATATATATATATATATATATATATATGTATTAAAATACTCTGAAATATTTGGCACAATATAGTAATTTTATTAAAATGCTTCAGATGTGGAAAATTTGCGAAAAAAGAGCAAACAAACCTGATTAAAAATTAATAACGTGAAAATGGGCAGGGGGGGGGTGGAGTTTGTAATTTTGTCTTATTTTTTGTGAAACTAGTTGCACTTGCACCCAAATATTTATTTATTTAAATCAAATGCCAGGCGTTTTGATAGTTATCAATACCACTTTAGTTGACTTCAGGCTTCACAGAGGTGAAGGAACGTCATGGTAGAATTCTTCGGGAGGGGGGGGGGGGGGGGGGAAACAGAAGATCGTTTCAAAGATGTAAAAAATACGGACAGATAGAAAGATAAAAAAGGTAAGGTGAATAGTGTGGAAGTGGTGTAATATGGCATATAGTAGTGTAGTTTGAAGTGAGAAGTCAACTGCCGGTTTATAGACTTTTTTTGCCGTATGAGTATAAGTTGCCCAGAGTGCACCATGTGGAGGTAAGTCTATCGCACACCCCTTCTCACTCATATATAAATTACGCGAGACATCGAATGTCCACCTCATCAATACGCCCACTATGGTCTGCTCATGAGTCCAGGGGCCTAAGAACCTATCCAAGCACAAACCTTAGCGAAATAACTAAATTGCAATATTGATAAATTTGAGACGGCAAGTCGGAAAATACTGCAGTGTTCAATAGACAAACAGATAGAACGTTTTCAAGTAGCATTCTTTTAAAATAATTCACATTTTTTGCATATTTTGCTAAACAAAGTGGGAATCATTTCTAAATAGAAAGCTACATGCGGACTAGATACGTCTATTCAAAGGATATAAAATACAAAGCGGACAGAAATGTGTTGAAAATATTCCAAGAGACTGCAAGCAGTGCATCTTTGAACGGAAAGGCAATTTCTAACAATCAGTTGTTTTATTTACCAAATTGAAATCAAGTTTAACTATATTCAAATCGATTTTTTCAAGATAATTAGTATTTTTAATTAGAAGGCCAATGTAAAAATTCATCGAAAGTAAAAGATTTCTACATTCTGGGCATTTCGAAAGTACATTCCATTCATTTTGGAATCGTAAAGTACATTTGACCTTGAATCGCAAGAGGTTAAAATTATATATGGCTAAGTAAGAATTCCTTTAAGATTTCAAATAATTTTTTCACTACAGTCCATTTCTGGTAGGGTAAATGTCGTAAATGGTGCGGATCATTTAATACTCCAATTTAATCTAAAATGCGTATATTACTAGAATGCATTACTGAATCATATACAGGTTAGTGGTAGTTTTCAGCTCAATGATGCATACAATTTTGGAAATGGCCAATCGAACGAAATTCACAGGCTCTAAATCTAGCTTAAAACGCGTTTATGAAATATTACATTTTCGCACCGCGTGCCAATTTTACAAGATAGTGCCAAAATTCACGCCACCCTCTACTTCCCCCCCCCCTCACTTCACAGTGTCATAGTAATCCAACTCTGCATGCAACGCATCTACTAGAGAGAGAGAGAGAGAGGAAGGAGTGACAGCTGATAAAATCAGTTGTCATTACTGCCTTCTGGCACAGCTTCAAAGAGAGGGGTATAGTTATAAACCCGTTAAGCTTTTAATGATGTCATCTTGAGGGTTGGTATGAAAATTGTCTTATTGTTTCGTGTACGAACGCCTTGTCATTTCATAATTGAGTGGAAAAAATATTTAATTAGACACCAACGGGCACTAAATACTGGCTCCTATGCGATGCATTTGTCAAAATTTATGAATTTTCAAAATAACCACGTAGGCTTACTTAAGCAAATTTTATTCTGATATCGAGCTAAACGTATTTCAAATGGCAGGCGTTTTGAAAGTTATCATTAGCCATTTAGCTGACTTAGGGCTTCACGGAAAGGAGGAGAAACATCAAAATAAAAAATTCGAGAAGGGGGGGGGGACAGAATAATGATTAACAGATGTAAAAGAGACAGACAGGCAGACACAAAGGCAGAAAGAAGGTAAGATGAGTACTGAAAAAGGGGTCGAATATGATATACAGTGGGATGATGGTGGTTTAAAGTATAGACTTTTTGCCGTATGCGTATACGTTGGCCAGGGTGCCCACCCATATATCGAGCTAAATAAAATGCCTTATGTGCAAAAAATCAGCGCCTACATATATATCAAGCGCTTTTCTTCCTCTCCTAGACGAATGTGAATAAATTAATAAAATAAGAAATTAAAAAATGAAATTAATGTCACTTTTCACTTCTCGAATCTCACTTATTCGACATTTGAAACCCAGTCCCATATCAGTGACACGCGGTGGCACATTCAAGACCTTGTTCTCAAAGCTGAGTTCTTCTCACTTTAACTACTCTCTACCCAGTGTCTAGTAAGATAATCTATACAGTTCTGATCAAATAAAGTTAATAATTAAGCCAATAATTTGTACTGTGCGTATACAGTTCGAGTTTATTGGGGGTAATTTTTTACTTTGATACCGGCTTGTTGATCGTGAAACCTTCAAAAAACTTCCTTGAAAACAGCGCATTTGTATAAAAGTAATATATTATGATAAAAATTAACATGATTTTTTTCGAATTACTCTGCTATTCAGAAACGATAATGAGAGTTTTTGAATTTCTCAGGAATGGGTTGGTCTAATTTTGCAATAGTTTTGTAAATCTTCTTTTTCCACGCCGAGTGGCTATCGGGTTCTGAGATAATGGCCATTAGAAATTCAATCACTGTGCGTTCAACTACTTGGCAAAATTCTGGTGGTATCTAAAAATAAAAGAAATTAAAATTAGGTTAAGATAATGTATAAAAAACTAAATTTTTTAAAATTATTTTAATTCATACTTCATTTTCAATTCCACGATTGTAGTGTCCTATTAGCGTTCGATAAAGTGCGTGTTTTGGTGTAATTCTGACACAGTCTGAAGTTTTTATGCCTTCAGCAATTAATTTTCGGACATATCTCTCGATATTAATATAATAATATTCCCTAAAACGAAGAAAAGATGACTACGTCATACGGATAATGATAGTGTACTTATTAATATTAAGTAGTAAATAAGAACTCAGGTATGAATTAGTTGGGTTCTTCGAGAACGAATTCCAACGTTAGTCCGAAGGAAGTGCCGAAGATATTTTACACCAGGAAGTATTTAATGGATTTGAGCTTACCGAAAGTTTGAAAACCATTTGACTAATTGGGCAGTGTTGTATCGATTAAATTTTACCTCAGGAAAGAAGGATTTTAGATATGTGGAATTTGGGTAACGACAGTAGAGGAACATCAGCTTCGCCTTCCGTAAATGACCACTGCTTAATAAGTCTTCCTTTTAAATAAAAAAGCAAATTTAGTAAAAAATCTGAAATCTAAAAAACAAAAAAGCTTCCTATTCAAATGAGTTCCATTTAAAGTGCATTCGTAACTGAATGCAGAAAAGCAGCATGAGGAAGTGTAAAGATTGTTTCACTGTCTCCAATGATATTAATCATGAACTTACCCTAAATTCATTCGTTTTGGAATGAGAGCATTGCCGGATTGTTCGAGACCGATTCAATGGAGATTTCAAATGAGAAGGCTTGTGTATATCGTTTAACTCCACATCCCGTTGTCTCCTCCATATTTCCTCCAGTCCCACTCCATTCTGAGCCAGCCGATTTTCTATTTGTCTCATACTTATTTGCATGATTTGAGAGATTTCTGGTGAATCTAGGTTTTCCGAGCAGTTTCCCGTGGAAGCCCAGAGCGGCATCCTGGATGTCTGCTTTATCAACGATGACTTCAAGAGCAAAGATGGTGGTGGGACAAAAAATACAGCTTTGAGAGGACTTGTAGGAAACTGTAGAATACTATTAGAGCTGCCAGAAGAACTTTGTGGTGTACCAAAACTTGATTCAAAGGAACTTCTTCGAGTTGGTGTCGACTGAATGATCGAGCTGACATCCCAAAAAGCTGACATTTTCGCTTAGAACCAGAGCAGATAGGAGTTCAACCTGCGCAGTGAGTTGATGTTTCGAACATTTAGGGAAACTCTTTTATAGTCCTCGTTCACTTGAGTCAAAAACTCCACATCCAATAAAATGGATGGAGAAATGCAGAGTGGGTGCAGATGAAATGCGGGTTCCGTGCACGTGTCAAATAGAAGCGGGATAAACTTAAGTGATTTCCCTCCAATACCAACCCCCTCCCCC